CATTCCCACCAACAGTGTAGGAGGGTGCCCGTTTCTCCACATCCTCGCCAGCATCTAGAGTTCTCTGATTTGCTCATTTTAGCCACTCTGACTGGCGTGAGGTGGTATCTCAGTGTGGTTTTGATTTGTATTTCCCTGATGAGGAGGGATGCTGAGCATAAAAGATGGAATCCTTGATGGAAGTTTTCAGACAGCAGCAGGCCAGGGGTGTGTGTGGCAGGGAAACGGAATTGTGTGTAAACTCCTCTGAAATCATACCAAGTGACTGCTTATTTTGTCCACCTGATTCTTCTGGCCATCAAATTCAGCTCCTGGCTCCTGAATCCCTAGATATCTGATATAAATATCTTGTACAGTGGCAAGCATCTCTCTGTAAGCATTAACTAGATGTTAACAATAAAAAACAGGGTTTTTATCCCATTGACCCGCTGGAGATGATTATTTCCATCTTTTGCCTAGAGAGCTGTCAGTCTTAAAGAAGGAGAATGGAGAACTGAAGAAATTTCTTGCCATCCTAAAGGTGAATGATACAGATTTTCCTTACTATTATTTTCTCTCCTATGTTTCCCATATATCCAACTGACTATGTAGAATACTGTTTCCTAACCATTTTTTCACATCATAGCACAAATAACTGATAATATTTGTACAAGTACACTCTGGTAAATAGTTGAGGCCATAGAAGACCTTGGACTGAAAGTATCAACATGTAGCACTGTTAACCCATTCTCGAACATCAGTGAGTCAGGGCATACCATTTGGGAAGCTCTCTTATGGAAGAAACGTCTATTGTAACTTCAAAATTTCTCTTTAAGAATCCCAAGACTACTCAGGATCCTTCCTCTTCCTCCAATCCAGCTCCATTTCCTAGACGTTTCTTCTTCCTAAGAATTTTCTTTGTATTTATATAATTTTCCTATTGATCCTACTCCTGAAACTATTCTAGCACATTGTATCCTGCCATTTTCCTTTCCCTCCTCCATGGACTCTCCATATTTTCCCACATATATCAGTCTCTAGGATTCCCAAAGTGTTTTTATGAAGAGTAACTAAATTTTTATTCTGCCAAAGCTAGGGAACATTGCTGCTGTTTGTTGTTGTTGTTGTTGTTTTATTTTTCCTACCAGGAATCTTAGCAACAACAGCTAGAGGACATTGCAGCTTAGTTATCTAGCAAGTAGCAATTCATTGGTTAGACTCCTTGAGCTGCAGCTTCCTTCATTCCCATTTTTTTCACCTACAGGGATCTCCAAATTGGTACCAAGGAAGCAGGTCAGTTTTATCAGGCCCCATTCTAGCCCTGTTTGTTATTCTTTCTTGACTCTTGGCTGCAACACCTGTGTGGGCTGTAAGGTGGAGGAAATGGTTTATGAAGTTATCTTTCACTTCTCCAGTTACTCACTGAAAAGTGCTCAAGTAAAGTCTTGAATGTGATGTTCACACTTATGAAATCCTACTTATCCTTCAAAATTCAATTCACATGTCATTTCCTCTGTCAGGACTTCATTAGGCAGAGTTCAATATTCTATTATTCATTTATTCAATAAATATTAAGTGCCTATTGTTTATCAGGTACCACATTAGGTGTTGGGTGCACATCACCAGTTAGTTTAATTGGTAATGTCCGTACCCTACCAACTATTAAATGATTTTTTATCTCAGCCCTGTTTTGGTGTGTTAAGAAACATGGCTCCTGCATCCACCCACAGAAGTTACAGTCTAGTGTTTTTTCATGTTTCCGTACTTCTGATGTACCAATTATAATATTTAAACATCGCTTTTACTTATCTTTATCTCTCCAACCTCTCACATATAGGAACCATATTCTAGTTGTATTTTTAATCTCAGGATCTAGGACATATAAACACTAAATAAATGCTTGTTGGAGAGATGGATGAGGGGATGGAGGGAGTGAGGGAATGATGGATTTATGTATGGATGAACAGATGGATAGATACATGTAAAATTGAAAGTACTTGGTAGGCACTGAGGAAAACAATAAAGGAGGACTTCAAAATTTCTACTATTACAGGCAGTAGTGGAGATTTCACTTAGGAAATTAGAGAGCCAAGGAGTCTCGTATGGAAACTTTGCCTCCATATTTTGTGGTGATACCTGTAATACATGATAGCAAGCAATTTGTGTGCTCAGAGAGTAAGCTGTTATTTCTATAAACAGTGATCTTATGGATCCTCTTAGGGGCAGTTAACTTCTGCTTCTTTTTTTTTTTTTTTCCTTTCAGGTCAGCCACACCTCGACCAGTAGGCATTACTTCTCCATCACAGTCAGGTAATGAACATTTTTTGCCCAGATATCTGTGTGAGGTGAATAAATATCCTTTTCACATATGGAAGATAGTTTCCTCTCAGAGACTGTAATGTGATTTTTCTAATCTTGTGTATGATATGAAAAGATCATACAACCAGATATCCACTTGTGACAGATCAGCTAGACAAGGCAGGGCACCATTAATGGCAACTTTTCATACTTCACTTTATTCTTTTTCAGTTACTCCACGACCAAGTTCTCAGCATAGCAGCCAAGTGGTCAGGTGAGTACAGAGCCTACACAGCCATACTAAAACTGTTGGCAAGAGTTGGAATATGAAAGAAATACCTACATATGGCAGAGATAGGGACTAAAGAGACTTTAGGTCTACATAAAGTTTAACACCAGGTTTTTTGTTTTCTTTCTGTCTCACCTTATACAGTCGGTCCTCCTCAGTGGAGTCTGTCCCTTACAGAATGTCTGGATTTAGTAGCTTGGGACAAGTAAGTAATACTTACCTTCTCTTCCCAGAGAAATCTTTGCTTTGCTAAATGAAAGCAGGAGCGCCGGGGTGGCTTAGTCGGTTAAGTATTCAACTTCAGCTCAGGTCATGATCTCACAGTTCGTGGGCTTGAGCCCTGCGTCGAGCTCTGTGCTGACAACTAGCTCAGAACCTGGAGCCTGCTTCAGATTCTGTATCTCCCTTTTTCTCTGACCCTCCCCTACTTGCACTGTCTCTCTCTCTCTCTCTCTCAGAAATAAATAAAAACATAAAATAAAATAAATGAAAACAAAGATTTATGGCAAAAATATTAAGCTTATGTTGGTTTTGGTATAAATTATCTGATGCCATGCCTGACTTTTCTTTTGGCAATGCAGACCTGATGTTAGAAGCTAACACAGAGAATAAATGGGGTAAAAGTAGTGGGAATGTTTAAGGATTGAATTAACAGTAACAAATCATTTTGGAAGTAATAAAGTGTGGATCCTCCTTGGACTAATATGCCCATTCTGGGAGAACAACATATGGGTCAATGTGCAGACATAGAGAAATAGCAAAGAATATTGAAGCCAGAGAATGGGGATATATTTATTAATTGATGTTCATTTTTTGTCTATCAGGGAATCAGAGGCCTACAAGGAAGAAGTACTCCCAGAGACTCATATATTGGTGAGAAGGGGGTCGGGAAAGGGTCAGAACCAGCATATTCTGTACAGATACCAGCAGATTTCCGGTTTTCTCTGCATGTATAATACCATTATGCATTTTCTGTGCATAATATAAAGCAATTTTTTTTCCAGACACTGATTCCAGGTATCCAGAGATATATTACTACTTTATATCTGTTCTCAAACTGATAAGGAGAAACTTTTTTTGAGCTATAGAAAGTTATTGAAAACCTCTGGTCAAGAGATAGGGGATGGGCCACCTGGGTGGCTCAGTCAGTTAAGGTCTTGATCTCACGTGAGATCAAGCCCTGTGTCAGGCTTTGTGCTGACAGTGCAGAGCCTGCTTAGGATGCTCTCTCTTCTCTCTCTCTCTCTGCCCCTCCCCTGCTTGTGGTCTGTCTCTCTCAAAATACATAAAGAAAGAAAGACAGAAATGGGATAACTGGAGTCAAATAGATTTGGATTTTTAAAATTGCCACAAGATGGCAGTAGAAGTTAGGTCTAAAAGGTGCCAGTTGTGTTAGCCTGAAGGGGAATCAGGCTTCTTCACTCTGTATTAAACAGAGTAGTTTTTCACTACTCTATTCTATATGTCCTATGTCTACTTTGTTCCTCACTTCCTCCATTATCCCTTCTTTTATGTTAAATATTTTCTAGTGCACCATCTTAGTTCCCTTGTTTATTTTACTATATTTTTAAGTTATTTTCTTGAGAATTACAATTAACATCATAATTAATAGCAATATACTTCAGATTAATGCCAAGCAGTTCCAATAGCATACAAAAACTACACTTCTATATAGCACCATTCTCTCTCCATTTAATTGTGCTGTTATGATAAATTACATCTTTATAAGTTGTATACTCATCAACACAAGGTTACAGTTTTATACAGTTGTTTTTATAATCAGATAGCAGAGGGGCATTTGATGGCTTAATTGGTTGAGTGTCCCACTTCAGCTCAGGTCATGATCTCATGGTTTTGTGAATTTGAGCCCCTCATCGGGCTCTCTGCTGTCAGCCCAGAGCCCACTTCAGATCTTCTGTACCCCTCTCTCTCTGCCCCTCCCCTGCTAATGCTCTCTCTGTCAAAAATGAATACATATTTTAAAAATCAGGAGAAAAAAATTACAAACAAAAATACACTTGCACTTTTATATTTACCTATGTAATTGCCTTTACCCCAGTGCTCTTTATTATTTCTTCGTGAAGATCTGAGTTACTGTCCAGTGTCCTTTCAATTAAGCCTGAAAGGGGGTGCCTGGGTGGCTCAGTCAGTTAAGTGTCCGACTTCGGCTCAGGTCATGATCTCATGGTTTGTGGGTTCTGGCCCCATGTCAGGCTCTGTGCTGATACCTCAGAGCCTGGAGCCTGCTTCAGATTCTGGGTCTCCCTCTCTCTCTGCCCCTTCCTTGCTTATGCTCGGTCTCTCTCTCTCTCTCTCAAAAATAAATAAACATTAAAATTTTTTTTGAAAGCCTGAAGGATTCCCTTTAGTGTTTCTTGTAAGGCAGGTTTGATAGTGATGAATTCTCTCAGTTTTTGTTCATCTGGGAATGTCTTAATTTCTCCATCTTTGATGTTTATTTATTTTTGAGACAGAGAGTGAGTGTGAGCAGAGGAGGGGTGGTTGGTGGGTCAGGACGAGGATCCCAAGTAGGCTCTGTGTTGACAACAGAGTCTGATGTGGGGCTCAAACTCACAAGTTGTGAGATCGTGACCTGAGCCAAAGTTGGACACTCAACTGACTGAGCCACTCAGGTGCTCCTTTCTCCATCTTTGAAGAATTGTTTTGCTGGATTTAAAATTTTTGGTTGATAGTCTTTCTTTTAGTATTCTGAATATGTTATCTGCCAGTGTTCTTGCCTCCCTGGTTTCTGAAGGAGAAATCAGTGCTAATTTTATTGAAGATCGCTTACATATTATAAGTGACTTCTTTCAAGTTTCTTTTTTTTTTTTTGGCTTTCAGTAGTTTATGATGTGTCTGGGTGTGGATGTCTCTCTCTCTCTCTCTCTTTTTTTTTTTAATGTTTTTATTATTGAGAGACAGAGTATGAGCATGGGAGGGACAGAGAGAGGGGGAGACCCAGAATCTGAAGGAGGCTCCAGCCTCTAAGCTGTCAGCACAGAGCCTGACGCAGGGCTTGAACTCACAAACCGGGAGATCATGACCTGAGCCGAAGCCGGACGCTCAACCGACTGAGCCACCCAGGCTCAGGGATCTCTTTAACTATATCCTGTTTGGAGTTAGTTGAGCTCCTTGGATGTGTAGATCAATTTTTTTTTCATCTAATTTTGGAAGTTGTCAGTCATTATTTCTTCAAATATTCTTTCTGTCCTGTTCCTCTCTTTTCTTCTAGAACTCCCATTATGCATATGTTGATATACTTGACGGTGTTTCACCAAGGTCTCTGAGGCTCTCTGTTCATTTTTCATTATTTTTTGTTTCTCTTCCTCACATTATACAATCACAATTAGCTTCAAATTTGCTCATTGTTTTCTTCTATTTGTGTGTGCTGATGGGCCCCTCTAGTGAAATTTTTATTTTAGTTATTATACTTTTCAGTTCCAGAATTTATATTGGTTCTTTTAAATATATGTTTTCTTTATTAGTATTCTCTATTTGTTGAGACACCATTCTCATGCTTTAGTGCTTTAGACATGGTTTCCTAAAGCACTAAACATATTTAAAATACCAGATTTAAAGTGTTTGTCTAAAAAAAGTCTAGTCTGGGCTTAGTCCAATGTCCGGGCTTCCTCAAGGACAGTTTCTATTGATTGATTTACTTCTTTACATGGGTCATACTTTATTTCTTTGCATACGTCATAATTTTCTGTTGGAAACTGGACATTTAAAATAATATAACAGAGCAACTATAAGAATCAAATTATTCCCCCTCCCCAGGGTTTTTTGATGTTGCTGTTTATGGTTGGTTAGTGACTTTTTAAAACTAATTCTATAAAATCTGTATTGTCAGGGCACCTGGCTAGCTCAGTCAGGTAAGCGTCTGACTCTTGATTTCGGCTTGGGTCATGATCTCATGGTTTGTGAGTTTGAGCACCACTGTCAGTGCAGAGCCTGCTTGGAATTATCTCTCTTTCTGCCCCTCCCCTGCTCACGCTCTCTCAAAATAAGCATATCAACTTAAAAAAAAAAATCTGTATTGTCATGTGAGGCCACCAAAGTCTCTATTCAGTTAGCTTAGTGGTCAGCTAATGATGGGACAGAGATTTCCCTTAAACACCTGGAACCAGTAAGTCTCTCAGTCTTTACGGAAGGATTCTGCATGTGTGTGTTGGGGTTCAGTTTTAGCACTTAGCCAGACAATTGACAACTGTGCCTTAGCTTTCATCCTGTTTGTATGACCTCAAGGTAAGAGATTAAGGCCTTTTCAGGTCTTTTCTGAGCATGCATATAGTCCTGCACATGCACATGGTCTAGATCCCAAGACTGTCTTGTTTTCAGAGTTCTCACCAACTCATTCCCCATCCCTTCCATCTATTTTTTGGTTAGCCTACTGTTTGCTTCAATTTGTATTCACATCCCCAGGCAACCCAAAGGAGTGCTTCTAATTGTTTACAAGAAACACTCCTGGGGAAAAGACTTTTCACACATGGTAAACTCTAAGCTCTAAGTCCTGATGAGTTTGTGCACCAGGTCAGGTCATATAAAGGCGGTCTTGCAAGTAGAGTCTTTCAGCAAGTCACTGGACAGGTCAAATGATCATTCTCTGGGAATGAGACTGAGAGTTCCAACCCCATTCCATCCCCGCAGTGACTGCCAGAATGTTGGTTTTCAAGGCAGGCATGGAGATAGAGGAGAAATGGCAATGAAGCAAGTTAAAATGCCACAAAATTCACTGTTCTTACTTTTTCATTTGGATATTTTTTCTGGAATAAACATTCTCCAGACTGCTGCAAGCCTTTTGTTATGTTAATTTCCAGAGTTCTGAAAAAGTTGATTCTGACCATTTTTGCCAGTTTTCTCTTTCCTCTTATGGAGAAAATTTTTGGAGGTCCTTATGCCACCATTTTTGCTGTCACTCCTAACCAATTTAATGACCCTTTGTCTTTAGTCATTCTTCCTAGTAATCCCCATCTTAGAGAGGAAACCAAGGCACACATACATTAGGGCACATCAAGGCATTAATGGATCCTGGCCCACAAATTCATGAGACGGAGGAAAACACCTTTATGAGACACCGCTAGGTGATTTGTGAGCTTTTTCACTTGTTATTTTTCCCTAAGCCTAACATACACACTGAAAATCTTTGGTCCCCAATTTCTTTGCCCTGGCCCCAAGTATACCTGAATGAATCTCTTCTCCAGTTCATGGGTTCTCTCACAGGTTGACTTTTATGTTTTCCAGAAACCCCTTCGCCAGCTTCTACTCATAGCCTATCTTATAGGTAAGTAACACTATGCTTCCTTTTACTTGGAATCTGTTCACATTGACACTTTGCCAACACCCCTGGGGTTATTTCTACTGGCTGATACCACTAACATTTATAAATCTACCTTGTAAACAAGAGAGCATTGAATAGTACTGTCTTATATCATCCCAATTATTTTTAGTTGCAAGCAGGGGATTTGTTTCCTGTGTTGTCTAAATACATAGGCTCTCCCTTTAAATATGCTTTTTATCTTTACCTTCATTTTCTTTGCTGATGCTTTTATTTCCCCTTCTTAGGCCTTCACCCACCTCTTCTGGACAGGGGATTTTTTCTTTCAGACCATCCCTAAATGGTGGGGATTCAGTCCACACAAGAGCCCTTACCCCCAATAATTCAGGTATGTTAAATGTCATTCCCAAAGGAATGGAGCTTCAACCATTGACATATATACTAAAATGAAGATTTTCAAGGTGAAAGAAGTTAGGAAAAGAATGCATTTATAACCTGCCTCTCAAATTGCTTAGCTAAGTCTTTTTCCCTTTTGAGTAGTGTTCTACAGATTAAGACCTACCTATTTAATCCCTGACCTGTAAATAACATTGTCAAAGAACTGCCCAAGGAAGTTGTCTTTCACCATTCCAATTCTGTCCTTCAGGTCAGAGGGAAAGCAGAACCCCACTAGAGAGTCTTCCTGGTTTCCAGCTACCAGTCCAGCAGGTGAGCCCTGGCTAGTTAACTTGCCTGTGTGTAAAAAACTTACAGGGTTGGGCCTGTGCACAACATACCTTTTGGGTCTCCTTTAAGGTGATACAATGTAACCAGTGGAGAATGATACGGGTTTCAAGTGTGGTAACCAAATGTTCACAATTTTCCAGAATGGTCTCAATTTCAAAGATTCTTTCCTACTATCAGATTAGCTTCCTGGTTTGGGGTTTAAAAATTAGGTCACATGGTAGTGAATACCTTTAAACTGAAAGATCTTAGCCAGTGTGCACTAAGTGCATAGACACAACTGACATCCCCAAAAGTTCCATGAAAGTATTTCAGTGGAATATATCTTTTGGGTAGAGATACTGCTTGAACTAGGAAAAGCCACATGAACTTCTCTAGAGATGGTTAGAATAATGCTTTATAAATTTATGGGACTATGATATGTTGGCAATAAGAGGAAGAAGGCATGGGAATAAGAAGGGAGGTTTATAAGGAGCTCTACATGCAAAGTCCAGTCTTGCCTTTTAAGCTAACTTTTATGGCCCAAGTTTTGAAGATATTTAGGCTCTTATTCCATGCCAAGGTCCTATTGAGCCCAAGGACATACTAAGGTAGGTAAATATTTTGCTCTCATATTCCAAATGCCCTTTATTTTCATTGGCAAGAAATTAGGGTCTAAGCTCCAAGAGGGAACACTGAGGAAATAACATCCCTGAGATCCTTACAAATGGAGGGATTAATGTACAGATGAAAAAAGACTTAAGGGACATATAAATCTATAAACATATGGTCCCTATTGGATCCTGATTAAAACACACACACACACACACACACACACACACACACACACATTTACAAGAAAGTTGAAAATTGAACACCTATTGGACATTGATATTTTCTTTTTTTAATGTTTATTTTTATAAAAATTTTAACGTTTTTTATTTATTTCTGAGAGAGAGAGACAGCGTGAGCAGGGGAGGGTCAGAGAGAGAGGGAGATGCAGAATCTGAAGCAGGCTCCAGGCTCTGAGCTAGCTGTCAGCACAGAGCCCAACGTGGGGCTTGAACCCACAAACTGAGATCATGATCTGAAGTTGGACGCTTAACCGACTGACCCACCCAGGCACCCCTATTTTTTATTTTTTGAGAGAGGGAGAAAAAGCACACACATGCGTGCAGCAGGGAAGGGGCAGAAAGATGGGGACAGAGGATCTGAAGCAGGCTCTGAGCTGACAGCAGGGCTTGATCTAACTCACAAACCATGAGATCTTGACCTGAGCCAAAGTCAGATGCTTAACTGAGCACAGAGGCACCCCGATATTAAGGAATTCTTAACAGTTTTTGTATGTGGGCGTAATGCTATTGTGGTTGTTTTTAAAAATAGTCTATCTTTTGGAGATACATACTAAAATATTTAGAAATAGGGGTTAAGGGATTGTCTGGGTTTTGCTTTAGTATATAATCTAGTGGAGATGAGGCAGAGAGATAGAAGAAATGAAAAAAAATTGGCCCTGAGCTATTTGTTGAATTTGGGTGATGGGTACTCATCAGTCTATTATACTACTTCACTTTTGTATTTTTTGAAAATTTCAATAATAAAGTTAAAAAAAAAAAAGCTATTTAAGTGCCACCTCCCCAGGAGTGTAAGAATCCTGCCTCACTGGTAAGCACATTTCGGCATAGTAGTCCTAGGTTCCAGGTCTTCAAAGTAGTTCTTTAAATACTCTGCCTCATCATCACCATAAGCCACTCAGATGTTGTAGAAAGTTCCATAATTAGCAACAAAACTTTTGTCACAGATGTATCAGATCTTAGTACAAATCTTGGGACAGTTATCATGCAATGGAGAAAATCACAGTGGTGATTTGCTCTCTTGATAAACTTCGTAAAGTGGTTTGAGAGGGCCTTATTTGCCCTTTTTGTTATAAATGCCCATATCTGCCTTTCTGCTCTCTGCTACAGACTCTCTACGAACAGAGACAGATGGGATTAACCAGAGCAAGAGAGGTATGGACTACTTCCAGATAGATCATCTTCAAGGTCTGATCCATACATATTGCTTAAGGAAGGCATATAGCATTCAGTATTCATTAACTGCGATGACCTTGGAAAATGTTTCCCTGCGTACCCTTATCTGTTTTGTTCTTTACCATATACACCTTATTTACCTCCTAGGAAAATGATCAGCATTATATAAGGCTAGTTCTTCAGGAAGATGCTTAGATCTCTCCCACACTCATATGTAGCTCTCTCATTTCCTACAACTTAAACAAAGGTTGTAAAAACAATTCTTGGCTCACTGGAGGTGGGAGATAATATACTTAAGTATGTTTTATTTCTAGGTTTCATTTTGTAGCTTTGGATATATTTGCCTATTGCCAAAGCTAATAAGCAACAACTCTGTTCCTTGTCCTAATTTATTATACTGTTTCTGTTTGCCTATTGTTTCCTCTATGCCTAGTTAACTATGTTGATTTTCCTTTCTGTCTGATAACAGCTAGAGACCCAGACTTTAAGCTTACTAAAGTACACAGATAAAATAAAGATGTCCTTTTATTGTTATTGCAACTCTATTGGTATTATATTATAAGCTCTAGAATGGTGGAATGGGCAAAGAACACCACCAGTGAGATGCAACACATATTCTTCTTTGGGTATTAAAGAGTAGAAATGAGGATTTAAATGGGTTGGCCAGTAGCAGGCAGGCCATAAGCAAAAATATTAAAAATATATATACAGATAGCAAACATCTGCCAGAAATAAATTAAGTCCTGGGAATAACCGTGAGGCTGAACTAGTATTCCCTACCCTTTCTGGAACTCTGGAGTTTATTTTTAAAGGTATTTCTAGACTTTTCTGGGAAGAGCCTGTCCTGTAGCAGTAAAGGAAACAAATCTGCCTAGTGATAGATACCAATGTACTCCCTTTTAAAGTTTTATTCTTTTAATTTACCTCAATATATCCTGCTGCTTAAAAAAAAAAAGATACTAAATCAGAATGTTAATAGATTTGGCTCCATTAATCTCTAAACCATAGAAGTGGCAAAGTGGAGGAGAGAGAAACAATTTTATTTTTGGCCTTTTATTATTATTCTAGCAATTTGGGGCTTCCACTCTTATTTCTAGATGGTTAACCCATTGATATCTTTATATATGACTCCAACTGATGAAAACCATTCTAAAACACATCAGTAATCAATTCAGTTAAGACCAGGGTCCCTCTGTCCCCAAGACAGATCCTATAAGGAGAGGAAAAAGTCTCTATTATAGATACATATTGAACCAACACCAAATAGATGAAAAATTAGTCTTTGTCAAGCTAGCCAGAAGGGAGTTTCAGGTTTGTAAAACCAAACCTGGAACCTACCTGCACCCACCTTCTGAACAGTAGAAATCATCTCTCTCCTCTAACGCTCTGTAACCTAATTCTTTTTAAAAGGACATTTCCCCCCAGTTCCCACATCCAATAAATATCCAGTCTAAATTATTCTCCACCCAATTATTAAACTTTTTCACAAGCTCCATGGGGAAGATTTACCCTGAGACAAATAGCAAACAGAATGAGGGATTTTGGAAAAAGATTAAAAAGTACAAGGCAAAATGGTCCCAGTATCAGAAATGAAAACATTCTGCTACCTGTGCAACTCAGTAACGAAGCAGGGAAAACCCAGCGTCAAGTTGGTATGCATGAAGGAAATACTTGTAGTGAGACTGGGACACACTGAGACTCTCAGCTGTATTATGCACGGACTTGCGCTCAGAGAAGAAAGGGGTGTGAGGCAGCCTTACATTCCAGGGAAAATGGTGGGACTGGGGGATGCACTGGAATCATCAACTGAATCAAAATTCTTGACTCCATCTTTCCAGTCGTAAAGACGTGGGGCCAATGTCTGGCCTCTCCTTAGTACAGTAAGGGAAAAGAACAGCAGACATGAAGAGAGCAAGAACCGTTTCCCAGCCCATGGTTTGGACCAGGTCCTTAGCACTCTCTTCACTGAGACCTGACGTCTGCCCGTCCAATCCTCACCTCTCTTTGGGTCCTATGGTAACCCTCCCTGGCCCACCCTCACAACATCCCCCGTCTCCCAACCTCAAGAACACAAAGCTTTTTAGTTCTTTGCCACAAGGTAATTTAAAAAATGTGGTTTCTTTGTTTAAACAGTTACTAAGTTGGTTCATCTTTTAGTAACAGACCTCCCCTCCCCTCCTCCACCCCTTAGTCCTGTATGATCACATCATCATCATCGTCATCATCTTCCTCCTCCTCCTCTTCTTCATCCTCATCATCTTCTGGCAGTTCCTCTTCCTCCTCTTCCTCTTCTTCATCTAGACAAACCACCACCTCCGCTGGCTCAGGTAAACGAGAGTCAAACCAATCCAGTACCTGCTGGGTGCTAAGCCTTGATGCCTGACTGAGTTGAGGGATATCACTTTCCCGTAGCTGTTGGTGGGCTGCCCAGTATCTCTCCAAGGGTCGTATATCCGGTGGGGGTGGGGGGTTTGGCAGAGGTGGTGTGTCAGCCCATTCATTCAAGGAGCGGGTTGAAGGTGGGGGTGTGGGAATTGCTGGGTCCTGGAAACTAGGGGCACCAGGTACTGCGTTGTCCCGAAACCATTTTAGTTGCCCATGCTTCAAGGCATAGCGTGTGTCACCAAACCACTGAATAATCTCAGGCCGAGGTAAGCCAGTGATCTGTTCTAATTTATGGTAATCCTCACGCCGTGCCCACTGGCACTGTAAAAAAAAAGATTTGAGGATAGCCAGCTGCTCTTTGGTTTTGCGCTTGGTCTTTCGCTGGCGTTGCATATCTGGGGAAAGGTACTCTGCAGGGCCACCCCTACCTGGTACTGAGTTATGTCTTAGCCCCTGGGGCCAGGCTGGCTCCAGATGTGGGGGCAATGCCTGTTCATTGGGTGACAGTGGCTGTGAGATACAGCCCAGTGACTGGAGGGGTTTAGAGGTGGCAGTAGCTCCATTTGCCAGTACCTGGAAAGTGGAAGAAGAGGTAGAAGAAGAAGGAGGAGTCACAATAGATGCTGACTCCTGCTTACAACTACTGGCAAGTAATGAGATTGGTGGGGGCTTATCCCGAGCACGTGGCTGGTGGACAGCTGTGGAGTGGTTCCAGGAAGCAGAACCTAGGCCATGTGACTGACTGGGACCCTTGCCTGCCTGCTCCTTAGAGAGGCCACTGCTTTGAAGATCCTGCCAAAAATCTGATTGGTGGGAGAATGCCCCACTACCAGGTGCCATCAGGGGCTCCTTTGCTTTCTGGTGACTCAGCGGCTCTGAGGACTCTTCAGGTTCTACCTTCAATCCTTTCATTTGGGTAGGCTCGCTAAGAGTCAGGGGCACTATTCCAAGACCCACTTGTTCTGGAGGTGGCACTGGAGAAGGCACCTCCTCGGGGGGCCGCCCTGCATGATGAGTAAAAGAGAGAAGGGATTTGAAATGGAGCTGGTCCCGGTGGTAGACCACTCGAGCTCGAGTCTCTTCTATTTCTTCAGATGACCAGCTAATGCCACAGCGGAGGCGCTGGGCCATGAACCAAGTCTTGACTTTTTCCATCTGCAGCCCATAGCGTAAGCAGAGAAGAGCAATGTCAGCTAGACTGGGATAGGGAAAGTAGCTGAAGGTTTGTAGCAAGTGTTCATTGCCATCCAGCTCACTGGTCTGGGCTGCCTGGGTCCACACAAGCTGTAGCTCCTCGGAGATTGGAGGGAGGCAGATGAGCCCCGCAGGGGAGCTATTAAGACTGCTGGCCTCTTTATTAGGAGGCATGGTGCTTTCTGATTTGTGCCCTTCAGAGATAGCTGTAATAAGAAGAGAAACAGCTCAATCACTGGGGCTCCTTTCAGCCCATTGCTCAATTTCTGCCAAACAAAATGCTGGACTCCAATAAAATCAACTGCCTATTGTGTACTGTTTTGGATTGCTTTTAAAGGGCTTTAAAATTTTTCTCACTTAATTTCCATAACCTATGAGTCTGTTATAATTCCTATCGTAAGTATGGAAAAAAGCAAAGTCCATAGAAGTTAAATTACCCCAAGTCACGTGACTAGTGAAATCTGTCTTTAGAGGTTAAGAAGGAACACTCACTCTTATATTGCCTTTATTTTTCTTACGCAAACTCATTTTACCCTCTAAGATCATGGAACAGGAGTCACAAAATGGAAACTCAACCACAAAAACATGAAGTACAGTAATCTCAGAACTGATGCAAATGCTTTAGCTCCTGACAATTTATGATTACCTCTAGAATGTGGAGACAGATGGGGAGTACAAGAGAGGAATATCTAGAAGGCAGGACAGACAGCACTGTCCTTCTGCCCAGCCCCCATCCCTTTTCTCTTCTTGGTGGCGGAGTCCTGCAGGGAGGGGAATGATGGTACCTTCAAGCCCTAAACCCAAACCTGCTAAGCTTTATTTTCTCTCTGTAGGATAATTGATAGTCCGGATATCTGGGATAAATGGGGCTTACTCCCCCTGGGTTTTTGGGTCCTGTGGGGGTAGAGAGAGGGAACTGTTTCAACCCCCAAGTCCTCCACAGAACAAAGGTTAGCCCCTCCCCACCCCCAGCCTTTGTCTCTTCCAACAGCTCAGTCTCTCTCCAGGGAGCTGGGAAGAGCTCAGACTGCAGCAGCCCCTCCACACAGGGCAGAGGGCCTGCAGCTCTTATCTCTGCAGCCCAGCTTTCTTCCCAGCACCAGGTGGGCAGATTCATTATGAATTGCAGCCAGGTCCTGCAAGCTCCCCAGCAGCATCACTGCTGCCAGGTCTGTGGGTGCGGGGTGCTGGAGAGCCCCTGACTCTACGTCAGTCCTGAAATACCTGCTCAGGCTATTTCCCAGAAAGTTCTGTTGACCAAACTTTAACTCAGCTCCCTGTCTGGGCATTAGAAACTCTTTAATACATCGGTCACCCTTTTTGCTTAAAGGAATCCCACCTGAGCTTATAAATATTTACCTCTGAAATGTTAAGGATGGGACAGGATTCCTATGTAAATGCTACCTGATGAACTGAGAAGAATCTCAAGTCCAGGAAGTTATAGTGCAGTGTGGTATCAAGGGATTTTATATGATGATTAGAAAAATTTTGTAGCATTTTGAGGTGTCACCATTTCCTTTCAAAAAGCAGATCTAATGAACCAAAGGCCATGCAGATCCTAAAGGCTATACAACTTGAAAAGAACCTTAAGAGGGTAAGCAGAGACAAGCATGGCACAGCGGGTAGAAGTGATTCTTGAGTAAGGCCAACCTGCAGTTTGAATCCCAGTTCTGCCACTTATCAGCTATGTGATTTGGAGCAAGTTGCTAAACTTAAATGAGCTTTAGTTTCTTCATGTGGAAAAAAATGCACTCACTGCTAAATGAATGTAAAGTTATATATTTTTACCAAGCACATACTATGCACTAGGTATCCTGCGTATGCGAGGCCTAAAGCAGCTGTTGGGGTGAAGGCCTGAGGTGAGGCAGATTTGAGATTAATTGCAGCTTCACCACTTCCCAGAGTGGTGCTATCCTTGGGCAACTTATTTAACCTCACTAAGCCTTAGTTTCCCATCAGAAAAAAAGGAAGTCAGAACAGCACCTTCCTCGCAAGTTTACGACTAAATTAAAAAAATACAGTTGACATGATGACTAGAAGAAAGTAAAGGCTCCACAAATAGCTTTCCTCATGACTTCAGCCTCACCGAGTGATTCTAATGTAAGGTAATGCTCCTTTTCTAGACATAAGGAGGGAAGTGAAGCAAAGACTGAATTCTTTAAAATCCTTGTTTTCAGTTTGTTTTTGCAAGGTCTTAATTCTAATAAGCAGTGGAAGGAACTAGTGTATACATGATATTATGCTTTTCATATTTTGGGAGTTGGATAGAATTCCAGAATGGATTTTGCTGGTTTTTTTTTTTTTTTAAAGTATGAAAATAAGAGCCTTAGATTGAATCCGTAATTTGGAGAGAAATCCCTTTTGATTTCCAGATGAATTGCCAATTTAGTAGTAGCTCTACCTTTGCCCTCTAGGTTCATCCCAGACATACCTAAGTGGCCTATGAGCAAAAGCTTGCACAGTTAGGTGTTAAACTACGATTTAGACAATGTGGCCCACCAGGAACACCACCAAATCTAAGCTGGACAGTACTTAATGACTGCAATGCTTGATGTCTACTAAACTTATTTGTGTTTTTCAAGGGCACAATAACACTTTAGATATGAGAAAAATGCAGCATAAGAAAGCAGTCCAGTGTAAGGATGAAGACTGCCAGACAGGAAGTAAGGCAGGCACAGCTATAAGCCTTACAAGGAAGCATTCTGCTTTCATTCATTTGCTTTGCTATCCTCCAGATTCTCATGACATCAGTTTGGTGTTTCAATATAACATGTAGTAATACAGATACCATATTTGGTGTACTGTATCCATCTAGTTTTCCAATTACACAAAATACAAATTGTAGAAGACTTCCTGATACAGAATGGTGGCTTAAATCAGGGCAGAGCTTTATAGCTTCCTGGTACCTCCCTGGAAGAACCTGCTTTGACATAGGAAGAAACTACAGTCAGAGAGTGGCTCATGGGAGGTGTAACAAAGAGGGTAGGCCCCACAATAATAAAAACCACCATGAAGACACTACGAGATCTTGTGTTCTTGTGCCTCTATTTGGAGAGGGTAGAAAAAAGGGGGAAATCAAAACTGGAGAATGAAGGACTCCTGTGGGCAGAGATAGTAGTAATGGTGGGATTATCAATTCTGGATAATTACTAAATTTGATCCTTATTAAATGTGCTGGATTTGCCCTATTGCTACTTTAAGTAGCTAATAAAAAATATAATCAGGAAAATAGAGAGGATAACACCCTTCTTTCCCTTTGGGCATTCCATACCCGTGGACAGATGGCAGAAAAGAATGGGCTGTCTTAAGCTTCATGTAGGTGTCCATACAATCCTAGGAAAAAGAGGTGTTCACAACTGTAGGCTTGAGCCTAGGCTTATGGTTAAAGCAGGAGACAGTTCAAATGAGAGACTAGATATGATCCTGCTTAAATTGCCTAAATCTTTATTCACAGACCTGAAGTACTACCTGACATGTGTTTTGATGATAGTTTTAAGGGCCTTAAAGAATTTTTAGTGGTATTCAACTTATGTGCTTCTCAACTTTTTGGGTCATGAACTTCTTTGAGAAATCAGATAAAGGTATGGACCCTCAGAAAGTTATGAGTACCGGCCCCCCAAATAAACATCCATATTTGGGGGGCAGGTAGTGATCTCAGAGGGCTCACTGGCTGCCCAGAAGCCCAAGTTAAGAACCTCTGCCTTATGTCCTCCCAACTTAATAAAAAGGCAGTGGTGGTAACTACTTAAAGAGGAACATACATCTTAACGGGAATGAATGGAGAGTGGATGGAAGACTCAAGAGAATACCCAGGTCTAGAAGGAACTGGGTATTGGTAATACTAGTTGGAAGTATTCCAACCAATACTACTAGTATTCCACTAGTAGAGTGGAAGAGAGGGGTGTTCAACTGGGCCAGGAGCCTGGCTTAACTGACCCATTGGATTATATGACCAATACTCACAGTGTGCTACATACTGGAGCCTGGTAGGCTACTCTCTAGTGTGCCCAAATCATCTGCTTCTTTCAGCTGCCCTGTGTGCTTGGGCCAAGTTGTGTATGATTCCAAACCTGTTTATGCCTGTATTTATTTATGTATTTATTTTTATTTTTTATTTATTTATAGAATAATGCAATTATAGATCACATAAACCTATGAAAAATTAGTGCACTAAAAATTGTTTCTATGAAAACAAAGTCAAATGCTTTGGAAAGACATAATACAAAGGAGTGTACAATTGTTGATTTGGGAAGAGTAGGCAACTGTAAAAGATTGGAGGGGCATGGGACTTAAAAATCTCAACAGCAGTCTACATTCAGATTGCTTCAAAAGTGTTTAAATTCTCACTCCATTTTAAAGAAACCAAACCTGAAAATCATAGATGATGAGAGGCAGTGGCACATTAGAATTACCTGGGAAATTTAAACCGGGAACTCTCCTCCTCATTCTGACTTAATTAGTCTGGACTGGGGCCCAGGCATCAGTACTTTTAAAAGTTCTCAGGGTGCAGCCAGATTTGAGATTTGCGTGTGTAGTTTATACTAGAAAGGCAGTTGGGAACTCCAGTCGGCAGACTTACACAAAGAAAACGCCTGGACGTTACCCCAAAAGATTGGTGAAATGAACATACTTTTAATGACAATGCTTACCAATATGTACGCATCATTTTAAAAATTCCCAAGTTTAACTGGCGCTGTTTTTTTCAATCATTGCCATCTACCTGTCCTAATCATATAATATAAAAGGGCTTCAAATGTATGGTGAGAAGGTTTGTATGATAAAAGATCTGATCTGGGCCCACATTACCAAACAGGTCACAGCTTGAGTCTTCTTTCAGTTTAGAAGTCTCATATTAGGACGCAAAAACCAGGAACCTCTGAGAATTTGGGTTCTCTTTCCTGGTTTGTTTTCTGAGTATGGCTGGGTACGGGGTCAGAAGGGGCAGTTTCTCCCAAACCTTTCATTCCCAAAGACCAGCGCTCCCCAGAAGTAAGGCCAGATTTCTGTACGTGTGCTGAGGTCGCCAGGAGGTAGTCGTAGGGGGGAGGTGGAGAGGCCTGGGAAGGAAACGTTTCTCCTATCCTCCATTTCGCAGGCAGTCTACAAGGCTCCAAACTGGGTCAGAGAACAAAAAGTTGCTGCACTTGGGGCGATGAGCCCCAGGGAGCAGGCGAATCTCAAACCTCCCCTCGCCGAGACCGTCCCAACCCAGCCTTCCCCTCCTCCCTACACACCCACTCACCCTCCCCCAGTTACAACAGGGAACCGAAAAGTCCAGAGGAGAAAGAGAGAACCAGGCGACTTCGAGCCTAGAATTCTCCTCCCCTCAGCGCGGGGATGGGGCTCCGGAGGTCGGAGATCGTACAGGGGCTGGGAGGGGAAGTCGAAGGGGCTGGGGATCACTCACCGCGGTCCGGCCCGGGCGGCGGCTCCCAGCCTCGCACCATGGGCCGGGGGGGAAAGGGGAGAAAGGGCAGGGCCTCCGGGGTGGGAGTGGGGTTCCCGCCCGGTGCGGCCTGCTCCAAGCCCACCCGCGCGGAGGGCCAGGACCGGGACTGCCCCCCCCGTCCCTGAGAGCGCGCCCGTCTAGCCCAACCCTGCTCGAGCGAGTTGGGGGCGGGGCGGATGGGTGGGGCGGGCTCCAGAGGCGGTGCCAAGGTGGCCCGAGTCTGGATTGGTGGACGCAGGCAGGGGGACACCGGCGGAACGCACTGGGCCGACCATTGGCTGCGTGAGTCTCGGCTAAAGTCGGCTATTGGCTGCGTCGGCTTCAGCCGGGGTGGCTATTGGCTGCGTAGGAGAGGGAAGATGTCCCCCGGGGCCAGGGTGCTGTGAATGGTACCTCCCCCCTGCCTTCGACCTTTCCGCGCTGGACCTTCGGAGTACACGGAATCTTGGTCGTCCCGGAATTCCCCGAGGAATTAACAGCAGTTTGTTGAATTGCCTTACAACTACTCCCTATTTGTTCCTCCTGAAGGAAGATTTTTTTTTTCAGCACCCCCTTGCCAGCCTTACACACGAGCTGAGCCGCGCCTGCCCAGCCGGGGGCCCAGCCGCCGTCAGCAGCGTCACTGTAAACGAAGCGCCTAGAGCAACCGGGAGCTTGTTCTCCAGATAGATCAAATGTCTTGTCACCTGAAAGACGAGGATCCTAGCTGACCGACCCCTTCGGAACACCGCACAGGTGTTCCCAAAGACGAAGTGTCAGAAGGGGCACCTATTTGGGACCTGCCAGACACTCAGGTCCCCTTTCTGTCTCAGTGAAGAGGACACCTGGAACTCCACCTCTTATCTGGGGACCTTGGTTTACTCTGACTAGAAAGGAATGGCAATAAAATAGACTTTTCACTAAAGTGGTAGTCCACACACCCCGAAGTTCTGGGCCAAAAGTTTGTATATTTAGGATTCTCCCTCCGTCTTCGACTAAAACTTGGGAACAGTACTTTATGAAGTGATTCTTTTGTTCTCACGCTGGTCTTTGAAAAAGTCTCTTCTTGCCTATTTAGGTCACTTAATAGCTTATATAGCCACAGTAATTTATAAAACAGTTTTCAGACTTTGCCTTGTATTCCACAGATAGACATCACCTCTCCCCATATACTCCCCCAAAATGCCACTACTCTATCGCTCCAATTTAAGGTCTAGAGCTCTTTCAAGGTTGTCAGACATCAGAAATTGATTTCCTCTTCAGCATTGAGCCCTATTTTATGTTGTTATCCCTGTATTTACCCCTGCCCACACCCAGCCCCATTACATTTAGTAAAACTTTAAACTTCTAAGAGCCAGCCCTACATCCTTCAAACTGGCATCCAGCAAAAACATCACAGGAGGAAAAAAAAAAAAAAAGCAAAGATATATATACTCCGCTTTAGAATTAGAAACTTGTGATCCCGCAGGGTGTAAGCCAGGGCTGCTGGTATATACAAGCTTTGTCCTAAATCATGACTATTACAATGACCCAATAGTTTGTATGTGATGAAAAGGAAAAGTGAAACATTGTAGCAGCCGCAGCCCTCAGTTTTCAGTGGAGAGGTTGTTCTCTTATAATCTAAAAACAGTAACAAGACTGGGTTGTCTGGTTGACATACTTATCTGGCTGGAAAGCCAGGCAGGCAATGTCCATGCGGACTTAGTGCCTTCCTCTGGAGAGTTCAGTTAGGCACTCTGGGCATCACTGATCATGGGCTTGGAAATATGAAAGGTGGACAACTGTACCACCTTTCTATTCTCAGGAAGACACTCACTGCTAAAACAGAAGTAGGCTGTAGAATTGAAGACAGGTTTAGGAGAGAGAAAAATCCAAGGAAAGGAAGAAACTCCTCTGCCCTACTTCTGGAGTACAGGCTGAAGCCTCCCTCTTTTATGTGGATTTTGCCCTAAAGCTTTAGAAGATGGAGTGAGGATTGGAAGAGAGGAAGAGATCCAGGTTGACAATATCAGAGAAAGGAGGGCCTTACCCTTAGCAAGACACTAACCCTCCCAGCTCTTCCTGGGACTAGTGCTGAAGAATGGAGACTCATCATATCACGTTATCCTCAATGTAGAGATGTTAATCCTCCATCTTTGACTGCATGGCTCAGATATTAGTAGGACTGACCAGAGACACATTAACCCTATAGCTAAAGAAATTGAACTTTTAGGGCCATCCCTTGCACAGACCTCTTCCGAAGAACTGGAGGAGCCCCAGCAATGTGATAACATGGTCATAGCTTTTTGTAAATTTTGAAAAAAGTATTTATTTAAACAGCAATTGGCTAAGAGTGATGTCTCTTTCTGACTTCCCCTCCATCACACTTTTTTTGTTAGGTGGCAGTGGGAAGGCCATGGATATTTTGGGATTGGCTAAGGAAGTTGATTTGGCAATACATTTAGTTTGGGGTTAGTAGTTTTTAAGTAAGTAGTTTAATAGTAAGTATAGTGTTAGAGGCTGAACTGTGTTGCCCTCCCCCCTCATTTGTATGGTAAAGTCCTAACTCTCAGTACCTTAGAATGTAAGTGTATTTGGAAATAAGGTCTATAAAGAGGTAATTAAGTTAAAATGAGGTGTTCAGGGTGAGTCCTAACCCAAAATGACTGGCGTCTTTACAATAGGATATTTGGACACAGATATGAATATAAGAAAGACCATGAGAAGACATAGGGAGAAAATGTCTATAAGCCAAGGAGAGGACCCTCAGAATCAACTCTTCCAATACCTTGATCTCAGACTTCTATCCTCCACACTGTAGAATTTCTGTGGTTTAAGCAACCCAGTCTGTTGTGTTTTGCATGGCAACTGTAGCAGACTAATACATATAGCTTCCAGATATAATCCTATTGTTAACAATTCAGTGGATATGACGTTATTGCAAACTTGAAATGCTCTGAAATTTTACACAAATGTCAAAGAAATTTGATGGGTTTTTTTTAGTTTGACAAAAATCCTAGAAACTGTGACATTGCCACTTATAAAGTGTGAGGGTGAACGTTTTCTAAATCACTAAGAAGTTTTAAAAAGTGATCATGTAGGGGGCGCCTAGGGGGCTCAGTTGTTTAAGCATCCGACTTCAGCTCAGGTCATGATCTCACAGTTCGTGGCTTTGAGCCCCGCATCAGGCTCTGTGCTGACAGCTCAGAGTCTGGAGCCTGTTTTGGATTCTGTGTCTGCTTCTCCCCTGTTCATACTCAGTCTCTGTCTCATTCTTAAAAATAAATAAAGATTTAAAAAAAAAATTCTAACTGATCATGTAGAAGACTGGATTATCTTTCTATACTCTTGTAGAAAACATTATATATAATCATCATATGAAAAAATATTAGAGAGCATGCAGCCAAAAACAAAATTATAAAAATATATGTTAAGTAGACACTTAAAATTTTTTGTTATTTTTCTTGATTTTATGTTGTGTTTGTCAGCTCTTTAAAAGTTATAGTTTATATTTTTTCATTCCAAAGTATTTTCATTTTGGGGCCTAATGCATTTATTTTTACCTTCAAAAGGCTCTGAAAGTTGTGTTTCAAGCACCTGAAAAATTGGATCTACCTCTGGGACTACCCAAATGAATATGGTGAGCTTCTGCTTCATTTAGGGGAACCATGCTCCACCATTCTGTGCCCTGTCTCCTAAGAAATACAAAAGCTGAGGGCTAACCAATCAGAACCGCAAGTATTGAGGATTTGGGATATCAAAAGCTGCAGTGAAGGAGTTTGTGAAGGAAGGATTTCAGAAAGACCTACCACTAAACTAAGACGTGAGAAGTCTGGAAAGACATTAAGGCCACAGAGGGATCTTAAGCAATAAGCCCTGGAGAAAAACCCCTGCAAAGCCCCCACTTACCTCTCCTTGGGTGTCTGCTCCTCATGCTGATTCTACTCTTTAGCCTATCTGGTTTCACAACATAACTGTGGGTGCTCTGCAGTGACATCACAACTTGGCCATTATGATGTAATGCAGAGGCATCTGAGTGTTCTCAGGCTAGGGCCTCCCTATTAGAAACGTTGTCTCATTACTTTGTGGGTAACTGAATTTTCTCATCGTTCAGGTGATGTGGGAATCAATCTTATGTTAGAACTTAATTTTTTTCAAGGATGCCTCACTTTAATATCTGTTGCTCCATTCTGGATTAGATAGAGGTTCTTGCTTTTCCTCTCCCTCATATTTCTTATCCTTTGCTTTGGGGTTGCCCTTGGCAGAGAAAAGGGCTTTGCTCTTCCCTCCAGTGCTTAAGCAGAATGTAACTTAGATTGCCTCCTTAAGGAAGAATAGCCACCCCACCCCACCCAAGGAGAAACTCAGGGCTTCTACCCAAGCAGTACCCTTTAACTGCACCAGGAATTGGTAATAGGTGCCAAGGAACTAGAGCTGGACCGTGGTAACTTTCCCACTACGACCCAAAATTGTGGTGGGATTGTATTGGGGTGCCATCTACCAGGGCTGTCCAACTCCTCCATATCTTCTGCCCATCCACCTTTTGCATAGCAATAGGACACCAGCAGATAGAAAAATGAGGTGACCAAAAATGGGGGTTGGGAGAGAGGAATCTCGCCTCTGGGTCTCTTGCCACCCTCTGCCCCAAACAAACAGTTTCTCAGTATCGTATGATATACTTTCATATTTCGACTTTATTTCAAATATGAGGTCTTTTATCCAGAAGGGAGGGCAGTTGCATGAGGAAGCTGAAGTGAGGCACAAAACTAATGCATTTGGGGCCCAGTGAACATGGCTGCACTGTGAAGGGTATGAGGACACTCTGGGAGGGCCTGAAGGGAACAGTTATTTGGGGGGATTCACAAAGCAAACTTTAATTTCCTTTCCAGGTTAGTCAATGGGTGGATTATACCATCTTCTTAGCAACTTCACTGTCCCTTAGCAATATCACCCAAAGAAGTGCCAAGGCTGGGAAAACAAAGAAAACTACAAAAGTGCCTTTTGTTTCTTTTCATGCCTGGACAGGGAAGGGAATGGAAGCTAGCAGGAGAAAATGAAACATTTCAGATATTATCCCTCGCCATGAAAAATCGCAGGTTTGACTATGTAGAGGCCTGTTTTATAGCCTGGGAATGGGATGTGTTCAGGAAGACTGAGGGTAAGCCCCATCTTGAGCGGCACTAACAAATTCTC